TTACCAGCATATATTGCATTTTGCCTGCAGGGGCATAATTGCCCGAAATAAAAACTTACACTATGCTGGCTAATTGCATAGGGCATACCGGTTCGGGTCATTTTTGTGGGAAGCCCCTGTAGGAATTTCTCTACATATCGTGTCAAAAAAAGAGCTAAGCGAAAAACGATTGCACAAAGCACAAGCACATAGAATATTTTTTACCACTTGACAGCTTATCTTTAAAAAAAAAATGTAGGAAAGTGAGCCGTTCGTGCAAACAACCAGTTAAACTCAAAGTTGCAAACATTTTTTAAAAGAGCAAACCAAGTTTATGAGATTTTTTTGAGAAACATACTTATTATAATATACCCCTTGCGTACCGTGCACGCACCAAACATACGCAAATTCAATACTTAAGTATTGTAGCGAACGCTGTATAACGAAAAAATTACGCGAATGCTTCATACCGTTTAATTGTAGCACGCGCATAAAACAAACGTTCTTGTGCATATTACACCCGTATGTACAATTCCCCTGGGGGAGAAAAAAGTGTCAAACGGAAAAGCAGAAAAAGTGTTTAGCGCCTGTTTTATAACTTATATATATGAGCGACCAGGTCAAACACCTGCCCATATAAGCGTGTTGTACTTGCTGAATTGTACTCCTATCCCCGCGCGCGTGCCTACATCTCGTGAGGGTTAAAAAAGGTGAAAAAGCAAAACACGAAAGGGGTTCCCTGTTGAGCAGTTACGCATTCCGCCGCTACCCCCAGAGCGCAGTATTCGCCAAAGAAGGAACCAAATCAAACGAAGGCGTAGCAAAACGTAGCAGACCAAACCAACCTCCCCCCCATCCAATCACACATAGAGGTAGAACAAAATGGTGAACTTCACAGTGGACCAGGTTCGTGAGATCATGAACAAAACCAAGCAGATCAGGAACATGTCCGTTATAGCGCATGTGGATCATGGAAAGTCAACCCTAACAGATTCTCTAGTTTCCAAGGCTGGTATTATTTCTAGCAAGCATGCAGGAGATGCGCGTTTTACGGACACGAGAGCAGATGAGCAGGAAAGGTGCATTACCATCAAGTCGACCGGTATTTCTATGTACTTTGAGCACGATTTGGAAGATGGCGAAGGAAAGAAACCCTTTCTTATTAATCTAATCGATTCCCCAGGACATGTTGATTTTTCATCAGAAGTCACAGCAGCGCTAAGAGTTACAGATGGTGCACTAGTTGTGGTAGATACCATTGAAGGAGTCTGTGTGCAGACAGAAACGGTATTGTACCAAGCGTTAGGAGAAAGAATTAAACCAGTGTTACATGTGAATAAAGTGGACCGAGCGCTGCTAGAATTACAGATGGAAGTGGAAGATATTTATCAGACCTTTGCCAGAACGATTGAGAGTGTGAATGTCATTATCTCCACCTATACAGACAAGCTCATGGGTGACATTCAGGTATACCCAGAAAAAGGAACAGTGTCCTTCGGTTCAGGTCTACAAGGCTGGGCATTCACCTTAGAAACGTTTTCTCGAATATACTCGAAAAAGTTTGGTATTGAGAAGAGCAAAATGATGCAGCGCCTATGGGGTAACAGCTTTTATGATGCCAAGACGAAGAAGTGGTCCAAAAATCAACAGGAAGGATATAAGAGAGGTTTCTGTCAGTTCATCATGGAGCCAATTTTAAATTTATGTCAGTCCATCATGAATGACGATAAGGATAAGTACACAAAGATGTTGACAAATATCGGAGTTGAATTAAAAGGAGATGATAAAAATTTAACAGGAAAACAATTACTAAAAAAAGCAATGCAGTTGTGGTTACCAGCTGGGGATACCCTACTCGAAATGATTGTCACGCATTTGCCATCTCCAGCCACAGCACAAAGGTACCGTGTAGAGAACCTTTATGAAGGTCCCATGGATGATGAAGCGGCCAATGCTATTCGTAACTGTGACCCACAAGGTCCACTAATGATGTACATATCCAAAATGGTGCCCACCTCTGACAAGGGAAGATTTTACGCCTTTGGTCGTGTTTTCTCCGGAACAGTTGCAACAGGACAAAAGGTAAGAATCCAAGGTCCACATTACGTACCAGGAGAAAAAACAGATCTGTATGAAAAGAACATCCAAAGGACTGTTCTTATGATGGGTAGGTATACCGAACAGGTTCAGGATGTCCCATGTGGTAATACCTGTTGTTTAGTCGGAGTAGATCAGTACATTGTAAAATCAGGAACGATTACAACTTTTAAAGAAGCACATAACATTGCTGATATGAAATATAGTGTTTCTCCAGTTGTACGTGTTGCCGTGAAGCCCAAGGATAGCAAGCAGTTACCAAAATTAGTTGATGGTCTTAAAAAATTGGCCAAGTCGGATCCATTAGTCCTATGTCAGACGGACGAATCAGGAGAACACATCATTTCCGGTTGTGGTGAATTACACATTGAAATTTGCTTAAAAGATTTAAAAGACGAGTATGCACAGATTGACTTTATCGTGTCCGACCCCGTTGTTTCGTATCGAGAAACCGTCACAGAAGAGTCCTCCATCACTTGTTTGGGTAAGTCACCAAACAAACACAACCGTCTTTTTATGAAAGCGTTCCCATTAGCTGAAGGCTTGCCAGAAGATATTGACAAAAATAAAGTATCAGATAAGGATGATCCGAAAGCCAGGGCAAATTACCTACACAGTAATTACCAGTGGGACAAAAACTTAGCCTTGAAAATCTGGGCATTCGGACCAGAAACAATTGGACCCAATTTGTTGACCGATAATACCAGTGGTATCCAGTACATGAATGAAATTAAGGTGCACTGTGTAGCTGCTTTTCAGTGGGCATCCAAAGAAGGAGTTTTATGTGAAGAGAACTTGAGAGGTTGTGAGTTTAGAATGTTAGACGTTCATATGCATGCTGATGCTATACATAGAGGTGCTGGACAAATTATGCCTGCTTGTAAGAAGTGTATCTATGCTTGCGAGTTGACTGCTTTCCCAAGATTAGTAGAACCCATTTACCTTGTTGATATTAGCTGTCCCCAAGATGTTGTCAGTGGGGTCTACTCAGTATTAAACAAAAGAAGAGGTATTGTTATTTCGGAAGATCAGAAGTTAGGTACGCCACTACTAAAAATACAGGCACATCTCCCCGTCGCCGAATCTTTTGGTTTCACCTCTGCATTACGAGCTGCCACTTCCGGACAAGCCTTTCCACAATGTGTCTTTGATCACTGGTCTGTACTTTATGATGATCCATTTGACTCCAACAAAAATTCCTACAAAATTATTATGAACATTAGAGAGAGAAAGGGTATTAAGGTCGAAATGCCGCAGTTAGACAACTACTTGGATAAGTTGTAAGCGGCCTTCCCCTCCTCCCCACAGGGATGCATAGCTGCATGGATACATGAATTTATGCATGCATGGGTGCCTTGATGCTTCCACGCGTCGAGGTGACCATACCAACAGAGGTGATCACCCAAGGGTGAATATCGTGAAGATGCTTTCCCCTCCACGTGTCCCTCCTAGCATGAGTGTGTTACCCACAGGGGCTCAGTTCACCACGCAGCACCTTCTGCGTAAGCGCCCCTGCACATAAGGCACCTCCAGGCCTACAAGCTAAAACTCTACAATACATTATTACTACTCAAATATGCACACGTTGACATACACACATGAAAAAAAAAATAAATAATAATAAAAATAATAAAAAAAATAAAAATAATAATAACAATAACTATAACAATAATAATAACAATAATAACAATAATAATAATTAATATAATTCATTTTTTCCAAACGTGCGAACGCATGTTCCATTTCTTGTGTTTTACCCCCTACCCAACAAGAACAAAAAGGCATTTGCAATTTCCATGCGTCATCTGAAGATTTTGAACCTATATAGTGTCTTTAACCGAGTAGAACACATTTTTAATTCCAATAAGTTACTCCTCTTTTCGGTCCTGCGAAGGGTTCCGCAAGAAGTCGGTATGTGTATAGGAGGGGCGGACGCCATAACTGTTCTCCCATCAAGCCCTACATCCTCATACGTAGCACATTGAGGAATATGTCAGTGTGTATTTTATCCAAAGGGCAAAACAAGTACCCCCTTTTTGTGCGTAAATTTTCATAACTCTCGACAAAATATGTTTTTACACCACTGGGGTAACACATCTACACAATGCAATATAGCGCCTTCGCATGCAGCTTAATTCCTCCAAAAGGAAGAGTACCCTTGGCGCGAAAATGTAAACCTGTTTGATTGTTTGCCTCTTTCGTGATGTCGAGGAGAACTTACAGGCTTCCTTTTTTCTCACTTTCGCGAAATGTCACATTTTGACGGTTACGTCAAGTGTGACTTCGGGGGAATGAAAAAAGCAACATCTTCCTAAATTCGCAATCCCCATAGCGTAAGCACATAAAAAAGCAGAACTTTTAAAGGGGAAATGAAATTTGTCCCTTTAAGTAGGTTGCTCAACTGACTGCAACGGGTTGGTGTCAACATGTACTACGTACGTATATATACATGACGTCATGTCTGTTTTTTTTTCTTAATTTTCAAGGCACACAACGGAGTGGCTGGTTAAAATTTACCCGTTAGGGCAAGTGTTCAGTAGGGTCAATTTTAAATGCGACCCGGGGAGCCATCATTAAGCGGTTTAGTTAGGCGGAAAACAAAAAGCAAACAAAAAGGTGATTTTTGCTTTATGCGGCGGGACAAAAAAATGGGCAAAAAAAAAGGAGGTATTTTTTCAAAAAAAGGAAATATTTATTCAAAAAAAGGAAGCATCTTTTCAAAAAAAGGAAGCATCTTTTCAAAAAAAACGGCATCTTTTTAAAAAAAGGACATTTTTTCAGAAAAAGGGCATCTTTTCAAAAAAAGGACATTTTATCAAAAAAAAAGGCATATTTGTCAGAAAAAGGCGTTCTTTAAAGAAAAAAAGACTTACTCCTCCGAAAGGACAAAACCGGCGCGTCACTTGCCATCATTGTAGTCAAACGAATTTTCCAGTATCGACAAGGAGAAGTTCGGTATCCTAAAATTTTTCTCGAGGTCATAAATCTGGTCATTAATCATTTTTGAGCACTCGTCAAAAAATATTTTCTTAATTTGGGACACGATTCTCAGGCAGTTTAAAATTTCCTTCTGCGTTCTGTCCCTGTTTATGCTCATAAATTCGTTATCCTTTGAATAGAATGTGTCCTTCAGCAGAGTGTCGATGTTCTTTTGGAGCGTTTCATTCCTATGCCTTAAAGCGTGGGCACCTGTTCTTGGTGAGGTCCTATCTTCTGTAATGCCGCTACCATAGTGACATAGCGACACATCCGTCGCGCTCTTTTCCGGTTCGTCTTTTTCGCTCCGATTGGAAATGTCTAAAGAGTTGTTGTTGCCTTCTAAGTGGGCACAAACTTTGGTTTCCTCATCGTGTCTTTCGATGGAGGCCTTGGCATTTTCTCGGTCAATTTTGGATTTACCATCTGCTAGCCCTTTCTCCGTGGCGCCAACACCGCTGGGGTGGGTCTCAAACTCCGCGTCGGTTTCCTTCTTCACATCACGGTCACCTGTTTGCTTGGCAAGATCACAAACATTGTCAGCGTTGTTAGATTTGGCTGTGTTCTCAACCTTGTCTGCGTTGCCTGCGTTGTCAACATCGTCGGGATTATTATTGACAATCGATCCACTCCCCTTTACGATTTTCTTAAAAAATGGAACAATCTTCGCAAACCAGAATGATTTTTTTTCAGGTGCGTCCTTCTTTTGTGCTCCCTCATTCTTCATACTTGCACTCTGCGGATATGTGCCCTTCGGGCCATCATGCATCCGTTCCTCACTACTAAAACCGTTGTTCTGTTGTTTTTTTTCCGAGTCGTCATTCCTCCTCTCATGCTTCTCTAATCGGTCCATTGCCTCCGTTTTAACGCTGCCTTGTAAATTAGTGCTCACGTAACTCGTATTATCATCAGCCTCATCCGAGTGCTTCTCCCTCACACGAGTAGTATCCTCACTCGAAAGAGCCGAAACGCCATAGGAAATTTCTCCGATGGTGCTACTCACTATGCTCATGTTATTGCTGTTGTTGCTCAGGTGTGTTTCCGTCCAGTGATGTTTACCTCCACCATTCTGATTATAATTATTTTCCCACTTTGGACAGCCCACTATATGGTCCTTTTTTACATCCCAATAGGGTGACCTTTTCTCGTGGTCGCCACACATTTTTTCCGTGTTATCATCTGCATCCGATAACAGTGCGCCGGTAGCGTCGTAGTGCGCTTCTAACTGGTCATTAGTGGAATGACCCAGTTGTGCATGATCACTTCTTCTTCCACTTTTTCCATCCTTTCTAGGTATGCCATTTTTTGCACCTTTGCCGCCTTTTCCACTTTTGCCATTTTTTCCACTTTTGCCATCTTTTCCACCTTGGCCGCCTTTTCCACTCTTGCCGCATTCCCCATTGCGCCCCCTGCTGGACACATCGTTCAGTTGTCTAAAATAATCAGCATAACGCTGTATGAGCGTTTCTTCCCGCTCGTCGACCTTTCCGCTGACACCTTCATTCGCCTCCAACTGTCTGCCTATGAATGCCTTCTCGCTCAGAATGCTCCCCTCCTTCTGCTCTCCCCTATACCTGTCAAGCAAATTGGTGCTGTTATACAATTTCGTCGATATGTAATGTTTAAACAAGCTTTCTTCATTTACATTTTTATATTTCCCCTGGGAATAATTCGAGTAGAATAAGTCTTCATTCTTCAGAGTATGCCTTATAAGTTTGTTGAATTCATCGCACACAAAATCGACGTTGTTCTGTTTGATGAACTTGTGCCCATACTTAAACAGAAAGTCGTTTTTGTTAATATTCTTTTCGTTTTGCATGAGATTTATTTTTTTGCTCATCTTTTTCATCATTTTTTTGCTCATTTTTTTGCTTATTCTTTTGCTTATTTTTTCTTTCTCTGCATTATGGTCCGTTTTATCCGTACACTTTGGCGCAACTACGGGAGGTCCCTCTTCTCCTTCTTGCACTTCCCCACTGCAGCTCCTTATGATCATTCTTCTCTCGGTGCTTCTGTCTTTTCCCGTTGCCTTTTTTGCAAATGTGTTTGTGTTATGTGGTTGGCCGTTCACTAGACTTCCATGTTTTTCTGTTTCCTCCCCATGTTGCCTCTTCTCCCCAGTCCACTGCGTCACTTGTTGTGCGACCGCACCGGTTGGATGACTGAGACGGCTCCTTTTACGTACCGTTCCACCTCTTTCATGGTGCGGTCTTTCCCCTACGACACTGGAATTCGGCAGCATAATACTGCGATTATCATTTTTTAAATTCAAGCTGCGCTGATTAATGTGACGAAAATTGTCTTCCTCGTTGTAATTCATAAAGTACATATCGGCACAAGTGCGAATCATATAAATATCATCCATTTCCTTGTTGGCGCAGTAGAGAAGCTCGTTCAGTCTCCTTTCTTCCTCATCATCAATTCCGTTAAAGCTTTTAGTAGACTCATTGTTCACGGTGTTGTCATCATTCAAATGGTTACTTTGAATTTTAACACAGCATTCATTGTTAATATCTCTGGGAATGCGCGCAATATTTAGGGCAATTTCATTCTCTATTTTGTAGTCATAATTCTTTCTCTTATTTCCTTTCTTAACGGATCTCTTCCGCAAGTAGTCGTAATAAAACTTATACTCTATCTGGTTCAGTTTGTTTAAAATTTCATTATTATTGTTTAGTATTTCTACTATGTATTCCATGGCGTAGACAGCTTCATCTACGTTGTGGGAATGTAAGGAGTGGGGTGGGAACTGCTGCTTCATATCTTTGGCTAGCTTGCCTTGTACCTCCCCGAGGAAGGACAACATAACGTCATAATCAATGTCGTCCACTTTGCTAATTTTTTTTAGAAATTTTAAAAACTCCTCGTTGAAATTGAATACTGTGTTCAGACTATTTACGTTATTCATAAATTCTTCTTTAATTTGAAACGTCTCATTTGGGAAGAGTCTCTTGCTGTCACTATCGCAGTGATTACTACTATTTTGGTCGGAGTCAGCGTTGGCCCCTTCACTTTCTAGTAACACATTAGAAGTGTCACTTTTGTGACAATCTGCATTGGTGGAGTTGTTAACTGGCGTGGATGTACCTCCTCTTGATTTCTTCCTATCTGTACCATGTTCTCCCTCTTGTGTGCATTTCCTTTTTCTTAGATTTCGCCCACATGCATAATCTAGGTGATCAGCCTGACTCAGGTCATGACTACCGCTCGAAGGACTGACCACATTACCCGAATTCGTATCAGCCGAGGTAGCCACATCGACAGTGCTATTTTCACTGTCCAAGAATTCTTTATTCTTCTCGTCCTTCACTTTTCTCCTTGGAGGGCTGTGGCTTCTATCAACAGCGCTGCTGTTTATTTCCTCTTTGGAGTCTTCCAAATGGGGTAGATGATGCTTCTCTTCCAACACGGATGACTCCCTTGGTGGAATATGCAAATTGACTGTATCTGCATCACCTGATGCCTTGCTCATGTGGGACAAACCGTCATTTCTCCTTCGTCTTCTACTATCATGAAAGAGAGGTTTCACTGAACTTTTATTTTCCTTCGCATTTTCATTCAGGTTTTCATCGAGGCTACCCTCTTTAACACTACTGTTTTGTGCTTTATTCTTTCCTGTTTTTTTCGTATCAACGAAGGGGTCTACAACGCTCTGGTCAGCATCTTCACTAACAGGAGTGGCGGTAATTCCACCTTGGTCGGTTACGTTAGGAAGAATATTCTTCTCATCACTCTCCAGGAGGTCATTATTGTTAATGCTATCTGGTTTTTGTTCAATGTTCTCCACTTTCTTGTTATTCAAATTATCTCTTCCTGTGCTTCCTCCCCATCCTGCTTTACCTTTGCTCTTAAATCGGGGTGACCTTCTCTTCTTAAAACTATGTACAGAGCTGTCCAGGTCAACTGCTTTAAATTCTTGAGCAATTTCCACTGTGCTCTGTTCTCGCTTGGCTTTTACAATCCCCTTTTCATCTGGTCCATTGCACATATTTTGATTCACCACGGATAAATCGCAGCTGCTGGTGTCAATGCTCTTCACCGCAGAAGTGGGGGCACTGCATTGGTTGGCATTATCATCCGTGGTGGAATTGCTAACGAGAGGAATGCACAAATTGTGTGCATCATTTTCTGCCGCATCCGCTAAAACATCATTGCCTAAAACGTTGGAGTAGCAGTGATCCGGTTTTTGAGCAACTTCTTCATTCTTTGTCAAACTAGGAACAGGTTTTATGTTGAGAAGCTGATGGGTATTTTCCCCCAAAGCGTCTGCATTTGTGGAATTGCTCACTTTTACGTTATTCGCTACTTTGTCTTCCTCATTGGCGAGAGTGCTACTTCTTTGTTCTTTACAATTCGGTTGGGACGTATTATCCACTAGGTTTTTCTCTACTTCCATTTTTTCCTTTTTCCTATTAGATCCCTTCGTGTTGCTACATCCTGTCACGCTTCTTGTACTTTTTTCTTGAGAAAATATGTCGTTCTTGTTGTTCCTTATGGTTCTACTCCTCGACCTGGTAAGGCGAACAAATGCCACTTCTTCTTGTGCGACTGGATTGTCGTGTTCTTTTTCTTCATTTTGATCTTTGATAGGATTTGTTTTTTCCCCCTTGGGGATGCTACTATCTTCACCTTGTGGAGGAATAAGACTATGTTGTTCTCCATTCTCGTCCTTCCTATCCCCACCTGCATCATCCTTCTCGTTCGTTGTTTGACATGTGCTCAATTCCGCGATGGACTGCACGTCTCCATTATCATCCCCAATCTGTGTACCACTAACAGTGTCGTTATCATGTACGGTGGTACAATCCTGGGTGCTTGGCTCTGTGGATACTTCCTCCGATGCCCTATCATTTTCGTTGCTTTGCTTTAAAGTCTCTTTGCTCAGGGAGGTAGTAATCGCCTGCACTTTCTTATCGATGTCTTCCTTATCAATCACTTCTTTGTCAATCACTGCTTTATCAATCACTGCTTTATCAATCCCTTTCTTATCAATCGATTTCTTGTCAATCCCTTTCTGATCAACCCCTTGCTTAACAATCCCTTGCTTAACAATCCCTTGCTTAACAATCCCTTGCTTAACAATCCCTTGCTTAACAATCCCTTGCTTAACAATCCCTTGCTTAACAATCCCTTTCTGATCAAGCACTTTCTTATCAATCCTTTTCGTATCAATCACTTCCCTGCTATCTTTACCCTTTTTCGCATTCCCTACAGGATCGATGTAACTGCTGGCTAGAATAGCGCTAAGCTCTGAGATTGTGCTTCTTATGCGCCATCTCTCCTCCCTCGATTCTGTTACGCTGCTTCTGTTGTGAACCCCAGAATTGTTCACATTACTTTTTGCCTTTTTATTTTTGGCATTATTCTTCACAGTCATTTTACTGTTATGCGATTTATGTGAACTTCTGTTATAACCCTCGGTGACTTTTCGCAGACCCACATCATCATCATCTTTATTTTTTGTGGTTTCTTCGTCTGATCAGAGAGGGGAAGAGGAGATCGGAAAGAATACAAAAAACGGATTATATGGGCTATGCGGTAAAGAGGTTATACAGAAGGCCTGACATGCAAGGGAGATTGGTTTCTCCCTTCGTCTTTACAATATCTAACACTCGCGCGGGGATTCAAAAGAAAAAAAATAAATAATTGCTTAAATCTTCCTTAGGGCATTGGTTTACACGTATTGCGAATATGCAAAATGTTCCAAACGCTTAATTCTGATTTATTCATGCAGGATATATCAGACTGCAGGTTTCAGCCTGTTACGCTAAGGGCGAAGGCCGGAAAAGCGGTAAAGGGAGAGGATGTGCAGAATGGCGAGTCTGGTTAGGCGACTCCTAAAGCGGTGGTGATTGCAATTGTGGTGATGGCTGCCAATGGAGTGATGAATACGGCCACGATTTCTGCCGCGATGATCGTGGCCTTCTTTTGTTTTTAAGAAAAAAACGGATGCATGGCGCGCTCTGGAGCTGACCCCTCCTCCATTGAGTACAATTTGATTGACAAAAAGGGGACTAATAAATAAGACAGAAAATAGTCACTTCTGCCACTCGTAAGGAAAGAATTACGAAGTAGACGAAAGTCCTAATAAGGCAACTGGAAGAATCACTCCACGTTGCTTGCGTAAATTACGTAAAACAAGTGCGTAACTTTTCAATCAAAAAAAAAAAATAGAATAATATATCCCAAGAATTTGGCACATATATATTTATACAAAATGCCATATAAATATACACGCTTATATTTTTTTTACTATTTACTCTATATAGACAAATTTAATTTATATATATAAATGAATTATTTTTTTCATAATAACGGAAATACACTAAATGGTAGAAATAAGAAAGAAAAAACAAAATTTAGCCGTAAAGGTATAAAAAGTAGCTACTACTTACTGTACGTACATATATGTATATTATTATATGCCGTAAGATGGGGGACAATATAATATTATACTTTATTCTGCACGGACTTTTTCAAGATTTTACTTTTGCTATATTCACTTGCGTGTTGTGGTATATAAATAAAGAAAAGGGGAGTAAAAGCAGGCATCTTTTCGTAGTTACGTAAATGCAGTGCCATGTACACATAACATCATATGGGGAACATATGTATATGTTCATATATATATCTTATATGCCTACATATATGACTAATGGATGAGGAGAAGGTATAGTTGGCTTTCCCCTGCATTATGAATAATATATGTGCTTGGCCGGGGGCACAATCATATATGCTCCTAACGCGTACGAAAAAAAGAAATCACAAAAAAGATCAGAAAAAAATTACGAAAATTTTTTTGCCAGGGCTATGTCACATTATTATACTGCGTTACGTTGGCGTATACTTATAATCTACTATAATGTAGCAAAGGCAACAAATTCAAATAATATATTATGTAGCAGATTTTTTATTATGTACAAAACGTCACGGCAAGGAAATTTTGGGTGCCCGATCATTTTTTGTTTCTTTTGTTTAGTAAAAATGGCGGGAAGGGGGGTAGTCGTACCTCAGCCTGGAATAACAAAATCTGATCTATTATATCTCTGAAATTTTTACCCACGCTTCTGGGTCCATTCTTGCACGCCGCGTTCCTTCCTGCGCAGGTATTGTTTATGCCCACTATCGTCGCGGTTATTGCGCTTATTATTGCGCTTATTATTGCGCTTCCTATTGCGCTTCCTATTTTGCCGCTGCTTATAGCGTCATCCAGATCTTTATGGTCGATTCCATTTTTTACGCCCCACTTTCACACCAATGAGAAAATAGCACACTTTCAAAAGCAGTGTCTATTCGTAATTTATAAGAAAAGCTGACCTATAATCTATTATTATTTACCTCCATTTGGCCGAAATAAAATACCTTACATAGAAAAATGCACCCCGTATTGCTTAAGTCCGCACATATAACAATTAGCATGTAGATTTTTACAGTAAATAATAAAGTCAACTCAGAAAAAAGGTAGCCCCAGTACATAGTAAAAAAACTGCGAATTTTTTTATGCTGATTTTTTTGCTCGATTTTCTGCCCGTTATTTATTCACTTTTTTCCTCCTAATTTTGTCGTGACTTATGCGTAAAACTTACGGCGGCTATCTGAGGAGGCAAGTGCGCTGCGGCTAATTCTGATGTATATTCATGACAATCGTATCCAACGCGCGCGATTATAATAGTTCTATTTTTTATGCGAAACGACAGTATAGTATCACGGGTTATGAGGAGAGGTTAAATACGTGCGGTCCACGGGGTTAAAAAAAGCATAGGGAGGACTTACGTGCAATGTTGCACAAACAAATTTTTGTAAGTTTATGTGCATGTACACATGTGTATACATGGGAATATTTATATGTATGTGGAGGTTTTATATAGCTACGGTGGGGATTATGCGGTGCCCCTGTTTTTGCGTTACATTTAATCTGCGACGCGATATGTAATGTATTTGTGGGGGCTGGCCTATGTTGTCTGCTGCCGATGGGTACCTGTGCGGGGGGAATCACAGGCGCTATCACGATGTAACGATAGAGATATGTGAAAAAAAAAAAATGCAATATTACGCAAAACTCGGAAAAATCCTCCAACTATTGTAACAGCTTGGGAGAGCCAAAAACTGCACGGAGGCTCCTCAAATTCCAATTCTCTGAACAACTGTTATGCAAAACCGTAATTTATACAAAATCGATATATCTTGCAAGGTAAAGAAATGTTGCTCGATATTCGGGAACGACGGGAAAGAAATCACACTTGAGAGTTGTTATGCATGGTTCATTTGTGGCATTCACTAAATTTTGTAAGTGATTAAAACCATATTTTTGGAGGTTTTACTTCTCCGAGGTTATTTTCTTAACATGCTTATAATGCAACGTGTCATATTGTGTCCCCTTTTTGCTGTGTTTTTTTTTTCCCCCGCTCAATTTTTGTTAAAAGAAAAAGAAGCGAAGATTGCGACTCCTTACATGCAGCAAATTGAAAAACCATTTGCATAAAATTGATTTTTTCCGCATGTTAAATGGGTAAGTTGGATATAGGTGCAACCTCTGTTTAGCATTTTCTCAATGCATCGTTCTTTTTTTTGTTTTTTTTTTCTTTTTAAATTCGAGTAAACCCACCGAGTGTTCATTTTGCGGAAAAAATGAATCGAACAACTTGCTGCCATTCTGCCGTGACCAGAATTATTTTCGCGAAAAATGAGAAGAAATTTCCAGATTTTCAAATAGGCGAATTTTACACCCCTTCCGAAATGAGACTGTCAAGCAGCACGACTTTCTAGCCAGTGACTTTACAACGAAGAGGAGAAGAATATAGCATCCCCCGTAAAAGCCTTTCGTGGAGGTGCGGAACTACGAAAAAGAGAATTAGCGCAAAATTGGGGCATAAGGAGAAAGCGTATTGCCACTGTAATGTTCGGGCAAGAGGATTCCTCGGGGGAGGTAAAACGCGTGAAACAAAAAAGAATAATAATAAAAGAAAGCGAAGCAGGAATGGCCAACGTTTTGCATATATTCGCATAGGTACACGTATACACTGTGTATATGTACACACATGTGAGGTGGTATAATATGATCCTCATTACCCACCCCCGCAGGCACAAAGCAAAAGCGAAGACGAATTGTCTGAGGAGGATCTAGTAAACAAGAATAAAAAAAAAATCAAATCTGTGTTACTCTCCCGATTGTATACCTTTGCACATGTGTAGAGACAAAGTGTTCTGAATTATTCCCGGCGCCTTCCCCCCCCATGTAGATCCCAAGCTTCCAGGACATCTGGGACAGCTTGGACAAATATGATGAGGAGTACACCCCCTCAAGTGAAATCCAGAAATATCACAATTCTTTGCAGAAGAGCCTGTACAACATTCTATTTTCGATTAAATATTTTCGTAAGTGTGGCAACAGGCATTAATATGCAAATTGGATTTTTCTTTTCTGTAATGCGTTAGCAATTTACACCATTTTAACCCCTTTTTAACCCCCTTTTAATCTCCGCATACCCCCTCTTTAATCGCTTTTCATACTTAAAAATCATGCCCATGTGCATATGTCCCGTTGTTCAGGGTCAGGTAAACGCGTTTTATAAATCGAGGGGAGACCAACCGTATGGGGTTCGTCCATTTGGGGGGCATCTTTTACCCAATCCTTTTTTTTTTTGATGCCATTTATCCGTATCCACTTCACTTTGTAAAGGAAGTCCTCATGACGACATTTCCTTTTTGCATTTCCGCACCTCCAGACGAGTTAAATATTGATGCCCTATTTTTGAAGCTCGTGAACAGATACGTGAAGTTTAAATTGCAGGGTAGGAAAAGATGAGGCAAATTGTTGTAAAAAAAAAAAAAAAGAAAGAGAACAGCGAAGACAAGAGAAGAATAACAAATCCCATTTTTACTCACTTTGGTAGCCCAATTTGTGTGGGAAAACGAAATACTCCGTAGTTCTGAATCCCTACCTGGTGACTCCATCTTTGTTTCCACCCCTGCTGTTAATAATATAAATCTTCATCCCTCTCATTGTCGTACGCACTCTGCAAATGTTCAGGAAATCAAACAGACGAAAAGGACATATCCAGATTAGCAAGGGTACCAATGGGGAAAAATGAAAAAAGAAAGACTACAAAAAGACTGCAAAAAGACTACAAAAAGACTACAAATAGACCTCGTCTTCTGTTCATTTATGGCTCTGTACAGCGCAGTGTACATCTGATTATTACACACTTTGACCCAATTCCCGGTGCTGCTAACTTCTGTTTTTTTTTTTATTTTTTTCCCGCCTCTCCCAGTTTCACTTAAAAAATCAGAAAGATGACGATGAGGACGAATTGGTCGTGGATGAAGAAGTGGGGGTCTTCCCTACCAAATGCCCCATATCGCAAATGCCTTTTGAAAACCCTGTGACGCAACGGTAAGAATGTGCATTTCGGAGTGTCCCTTTTTTTTATGTCCTGAAGTATACACCACAGAGTCATTATGTGTGCCACTCCTTACGAAAAATACATTTCCATTTCTAAAAGGCACTTAACAGTTCAGATCAACGGACGTAATAATGTTCTATAAAAATAATCACCGTCTTTTAATGCCAAAATTGATTGCTTCATTTTGTGTCATCACCCATGTTTTAGGTTTAGCAAAAATAGGAAGGCATGTGTTCACACATTTGAGAAAGCGTTCATACTCCGATTGATGTAAGTGGAATTTGTAGAAGTGTGGAGAAGAAAAGAAGCAGATTTTAACGCATGCCAACTGTTTTATTATTTTCATTCTTATTTTTTAGGCAAAATAAAGACACGATCGAATGCCCCATAGCAGGTTATTATATTCCTTTTCGTTTGCATATATCTGCCTGTGTCATGCTACCGCGAAGTTTCCCTTACAGAAGATTGTTTGCCTTCTTCTCCCTTTCTTTTGTGTATCCAACCCGAATGTACAAACTTCTTCCCTTTCAGCTTGCAAAAAGAAGGTCTACAAAAATAGCCTGCACCCCGATTACGAATTTCTGCATCATGCAAGGTTTGTCACAAGCGACTTGACGCGTTTGAAAATTTTGAGTTGCATCAGTTTTGTGCCATTCTTGGGGCAAACCAGCAAATGGGTTAAGATGTGCAAGCAGAAATGTGTACATGATGCATGCATATATGTGTGTATTTTTTTTTCCCCTTTGTAGGTACAAAAAATTCCGAGACAACATTGCGGAGGCCAAGGAATACTTCGTCAATCTGAGGAACGACGGTTCGGCAAAAGAAAGAAAAAATCGCGAAAAAAAAAGGGCGTTCTTCTTCTTCAGAGCGCCGGATGCACGCACGTGTATCGCATTTTATATGCAGCATTTTACGTACTCCACTTTACTTACCGCATTTTGCTCGTTTCACTTTATTATTCCCGTTTTAAGAGAGCAAAGGATTCGACTTCGTTGAGTAAGGCAAGTTCAAACCCCGGAGCAGCACAGGAGAACCTTCCTTTCCAGTTCACTTATTACAATTTTTAATTCCCACGTTGGTGGGGAATTCTTTTTATTTCATTTTTTTTTTCGGAGTGCACCACTCCTTCTTTACTTTGAGTAAATACCCCTACAGTACAACTCTTCTTTTCTCCGACGCGGTTACCCTGCTTTAACTTCGATGACCGTGTTGTTCCGCATGACGTCGCGAAGGCGCCACTAAAGTCGCATTTGTCTTTTACCACTTGAAAAACAAACAAATGTGTACAAAGGTACGTGGGGATACATATATATTTTTATTGATAGCAAAATTGCTTACATCTCTGGGGTTAAGACGATTAAGTGAACCAATGTGCACACCATGTAGCATCTTTCCTCCTCAAAAAAAAAAAAGGTTTTATATGAAGCCATCTTTTTCTTTGTGTTCCTCCCAGCCCAGCGAAATCAGAGGCATAATACCATTCCGTATTACACCTCATATATTTTGTTTGTACTCTTAGTTATGATAACAAGGGTGAGTGCTCATTTGGATGTTTAACTACGTGTTGTCGAGCTCGGCAAAGAGTTTGGGGTTGTCAATTTTTCTATTCCTTCGTTGTGTCCAAGGGGGATAGACGAAAAAGGCACTTCAAGATGGGGCCGGCATATGTATATATATATTTGTGCCCAATTCATGGTGGCAAATTTGGGGTACACACGTGGTACGTTTCTCATTTTGCTTTTCCCTTGCCCGAACGTGGAAGGGGATGGACATGTGGAGGACATTCGCCAAGTGGCACTCACCCCCCTCAATGCGATGTAAACTCAGGAAGTAGGTTTGTCGTGCCGTTTGCTCCCTTTCGTATTATAACCGCTTTGGCCGTTAGCTGGTCCGATAAGAACAGAGAGAAATTCATTTTTAAAAAACGTTTTATTACGTAAAATTGGAGAAGTAGGGAGAATAAAATAATGAGCTACTGCTTCATATGACGCATGGAGGCACTAGGCATGAATTTTTTTTTCTTTTTTTTTTTGTCAAGTATCATTATTCATTTATTCTGCATGGTTCCTTGGTTACATTCTTCAATCGGGGCGAAAACGAATGGAGAAAATTTTCCTCACCAACTTGACTCAAACAAGCGTTTCCTCAATGTACATTAGATTACCTCACACTTGCTGCACGAAAAGTATTGCGAGCCGCCTAACACCATGGCATATCTGCGCGTGAAATTTCCAAACCGTAGCACTTAAACACGAAGCAGCGAATTGGTGAAAAGAACTACCTAAAGCAAACAAAAGCTTTTTATTATTTGTTTTATTTTTTTCTATTTTTTTATTATTTTTTTTATTTTTTTGTATTTTTTTTTTTACCCTTTGCCTAACTTATACATCGTCTAAATTTGAGGAATGACAAGGAGAACGTTTTCATGAATAATTTCCAAATTTTTGAGAAAAAAAATTTCGTGGAACCAATTTCAGCAGGACGGGGCGATACACAGAATATTTTTTAAAGCATTTTTCCGAACTTCTACTTTGGCGAATATGGGACTGATGGCCTTTCCTTAGCTAGGACGGGCTCACAGTGTAGAAGGATAAGCACAAAGACCATAGGCTTAAAAGTGCGAACTGCTTTAACACCGAGCCGAACACACAATTCGCCACGTATGTATGCAGCTTCATTTGGCACGTTAGCCTTCTTAAATGCATAGTTCCTTTTGCTCTTTTCTAACACCTCCGTATCGAGTCTGCGACTCCTTAGGCCCAATTTGCGCCCCTTCCCCAAAATGAGCTGCATGAATTATGCGCGGCGTCTGTCGAAAAACGAAAACAAAGGGCCGTTGGGCGAAAAGGAATATTTTGAAGATTCTGAGGAAGAAAAAAGAAAAATAAAAACACTGATTGAAAAAATAAGAACCAGTGAACACATCGTCGTTCATGCTGGTGCCGGCATATCCACCAGCTCAGGGTTACAAGATTTTAGGGGCCCCACAGGAATATGGACAAATGAGTTCCTGAGCCAAGCGAATCACAGAAGGAAGAGGCAATTGGAGAAGCGACGCAAGGGGGGGAAGGAAGCGAGCGAGGTGAAGGTACAGGAGGCGAAGCCACATAAGGAGACCCAGGATGTAAAGACCCCTCATCCAAATGATAGCCAAAACGCGAAGGCGAAGATGATACGAAGAAGCTTACAAGAAAAATGCGAACTCTCGGATGACCCCGGCCAGCACATCTCTGTTAACAGAACGGAGGAGTCGCCATTCAATTTTGTCAAAAGAAAGAGTCCTGAGTTTTTGTACGAAGGCGACACACTCGAATCGCAGACAGGGAGAGCGGATAATTGCCAAGAGTACCGCTCAAGGGATACAAAATTAGCACATGAACAGCGTCAAGGTTATGCAGGCTTTCAAGAAAAGGAATATTTAAATGGTTACAACAGGGGAGAACATGTCGAGGCAGACAGAGGATCGATCCGTACTAAGGGGGATAACCATTCTATGAAGGAAAAACAGAAAAATGAAAATTTTGACATGACACTCCTGCACAGCAGAATGAAAAAGGAGGAACGAGAAGGGGGGGAAGAAAGCAGCCATGTGTGCGTAAAAAAAGAAAATGCATTTGGCACTTATGAGGGAGACTCCACAAGCTTCGACCCAAATGGTAGCAATAAACAGGGTGATGCACCTGGTGGAGAGGCAGCTGACGGAGATGCTATGGAGGTAACACAAAATCCCCCTTCAAACGAACACTATGTCATATTTGGAAACAGAAAAAAAAAAGTCATCGATTTGCACCTAGCCCTGCCAACCAAAACGCACATCATGATAAAGGAGCTGATGAACAGGAACATTATAAAATTTTTAATCACGCAAAATATAGATTCCCTACACTATAGGTGTGGAACTAAATTTTCGAAAATTTCAGAAATACATGGAAATATATTCATCGAAAGGTGCGATTTTTGTGGTAGAAGATATTTGAGAGATTTTGTTGTATCGACGATTAGTTTTCAACCCACGGGAGCGTTGTGTTTTTTATGTTCTTTTCCCCCGATAGGTGTATGTACAGATGTTTTATTAGACTGGAATAATGCATACGAAGATTTCTTCCACTTAAATTCTATCAGACATTCTCAGATGGCTGATTTTCACTTCTGTCTGGGGTCCAGCTTTTACATTGTCCCTGCTAGCTATTATCCATCCAAAAAAAAATTTGCAAATGAGAAGTCGTTCAGCTGCTTGATTAATTATCAGAAGTCTTCCCTGTCCAAGGAAGTTGATTTAAGTTTGCATTCTAATGTGAACAACATTTCTGATATCATCATTAAAGAATTTTCTCTAGAACCTCTCTGCATTAGAACTGCCTTGATTGTCGTGGTCAGGTGCCAAGTAATCCACTTTGATTTAATTTTCGACAAATTGATAACGGTGAATAATATCATCCAAGATAACAACTGTGTAGACTTACCCAAGGGAGAAATTTCCAGCGACTTGTCATTCCGAATTGTCAAAACGGAGGATGATTATTCAGGGGAGGGGGAAGAGTATCCCTCGGGGGAGCAAACGCACCTCAATAAGGGGGAAAAGTACTCCACTTATGATGGGATCAAGCACTTAAAGGAGGATAGAAACCCGTCCATACATTTATACACACATCGGAATGATTCTGATGTTGACCCACAAGAAATGCATAGGGACAGGAACCGATTTAGGGAACAACTCTTTTTAATCAAATGCTCGATGGTTAAAAAGGTTAGTACTAACGAACCAGTTGACGAGGCACACAAATTAGGAGTAACCCTGATAGATAAGACTAAAGGCATTTGGCTAGTAAGGACAAATTTTTCCTGTCTATTAGAAGTCGAATTATGGTACAATTCCTTCGTTTTGCTAAAATTAAATTATGATGAAAACTGCCCGTTCGTGGAACTAAATGCATGGAGTGTGAACGTGGCTTATACATATGGTGACGACATTGATGATGTGGACTATGTCAACAGGGGTGCTCCTAAAAGTAGAAATTTCGATTTGCACAAAAATAAGTATGTGGATAGCACTAGTCCGCACATGTGCAGTACCGAAAATGGTGCACACATAAAGGAAAAAGTGACAAGCGAGACTAACCATAGGGAGGGCAGCCTTTCAAATCGCTACAACGACCATAGGGGACGTCATGATGTACGGCATGATGCACGTCATGATTCACCTGATGATGCACAGCATGATGAACCTCATGATGCACGGAAGGATCCACGGCAGAATCCACGGCACTCGTTGCCCATTTCAGAAATATTGCCCGAACATGTATATGTGGGTTACAATCCAAACAATATCAAACCGCACTCTGGGGTTGAGCACCTAGCCATTTTGACCAACGCGAGCAAGCTCTCCAAGCATAGCAATTACGCGTGCTTCGAACTTCCCAACGCGCTCAAATTGCTATACAATTTGTTCTGCCTCGTAAATAAGTCGGAAAGGGCAAGGGAAACAGAAAAAGAAAGTCAGGGCGAACACGTGAAAAGGGAAGAAACACCCAATAGAGACACAATAGAGACGTTCGTAAAAAACTTGCATTCGCCAAAAAATGTCAATTTATACACAACCGATTTTATAAACTCCTTTACACAAAAGGAAAACATGGAGTATCAAAGCCATTACACCTTCAGGGAAAGGAAAAAAAGAAACTTAAGTGACTTCAATTTGTGCTCCTCCTCTGATGAAAACAAGGAAAAGAAAATGCTCGTTTTTTATAACCTATACATGAAGGAAAGAAGTGATGTTTATAATGTCGCAATTGGGATGGATAGAATCCGGAAACACTCTTTTGATTTTTTCCTACCTAGTAGTTACTCTCCAAGAAGTGCCTCAAAAGGGCACCTTCGCGATTCCCCAACAAGGAAAGAAACACGTGAAGCGAACAAATTTAATGACAATAATTCTGTAGCAAGCACCAGCAAAATTGAACGTGATCCTTTACACGAGATGCACCACTTAAAAATGGCGCCCTCACAAAATGGGAAAAATTGTGCTGAATACGAAAACGTGGATGAGGACAGCTATCGGAAAGACAGAGTCTCACTCAGTCAGGGGAGTGAACCCATCTTGAGTAATATCCCAAAAGAAAAGTTGGAAATCCCTCCGACGGAAAAGGCTACGAAGAATTATAACACTGCCGCTGAGGAACAATCAAGCAACGATTCGAATACAAATGGTTTTAAAGAGAAGTACCCCAAATCAGATAAAGCCAGCGCTAGTCACTTAGAGGAAGAGGAAAATCACGCCAGCACCACAAAAAAGAAGTCACATCATTTTAACCACCGGTCCTCGGAACTGTTGTTCTACCCAGTTATGCTTATAAATAACAAACACCAACTTGGTGAATTGGTGTCCAGAATACCCAAGTATATCAAACCCCCGAAGAGGTACACTCCCTACAGGAAGCTCAGCAGGGATAAGAAAAATTCCAATACTCTTCAGAGATGTAGAAGTGAAATTTGGCAGGGAAAATACAACGAGATGGTTTGCGATATGGAGAAAGAGCACGCTGTGGATTTTGTTCTCTTCCGGGAGATCAGCTACTTCCCTTTGTGGCTTTTGAATTATGTAAACGACTTGTTCGAGTGTTTGTGAGAGGAGGGTGCGCGCCGCAGGAGAGTAGTCTAAGTACCATCTTTTTTTTTGGCTCATTTTGTGTCTACCTTTTCTAGGTCTTTTCGTAAACCTGGGCGAACTATCCCTTTGCCCGTTTTCTCCTTTTTTGTGTTCCAAAGATACCTCCAATTCGTCAATAATTTGTGTTTGTTAAACGTCTGTCCTTGTTTGCTACCACCTTGTCGTACTATAACCGCGCTTCCCTTTGAATCCATCGCGCCCATAAAAAAAAAAAGTGTCAGGCGCAATACTGCACATGTGTTAAGTACAGCCCCGCGTTTGCGTGGGCAAAAGGAGAGCGATTTGTTCATGTGATCAGGACGTGTATCCATGGGGGAAGACTCCGATAGGCGCCCAGCACAATACTGGGCACTTTTCCGCTCATCACAAAAAAAAAAAAAAAAAAAAAGAAATACAAAATAGACATTCTGTGGTACCAAATAAGCAATCCCAGATGTGAATGGCATACACATGAGGGAAAGGTCAAGCCGCGCCCGGCGCACAATCTGGAACATGCGCGTGCAACAGGAGCGGTGACCTAGACTGTCGTAAATAGGAAGACGATTTAAAATTAAAAAAAATGAAACCCCTCAGTCGGAGTCATCCATGACGTCCAATTTGTCCATGGCATGTTGTAAAAGGTGACCATAATTCGCGTCATCTTCATTTTGATTAAAATTTAACGTCGTGTTGGAATTTTCCACGTTCCCGTCCTGCTCGTCATTTTTATTGTTATCGTTAAAGGCGTCTTCCACTCCCCGATTTTTGCCTTCATTTATTTTCCTCTTAATTAGCTCGATTATAGCTTTATCCGTTTTTTTCGACAACACATTTAATTTCTTTTGCAAATCTCTCTTCAAATCAGCATTGATATTTTTGGCATCAATTCGGTCTAGAACATTCCCTTGAAATGCATTTTTCACTTGTTCCTCAAATTCTTCAATTAATTTCGCTTCGAATTCTTCCGTATCTGGACAAGGCACGCACGATTTCTTGAGCTCCTTGTTGACGGGAATGTAGTTGTAAAATTTCAAATCCCTGTAGTCCTTCGCCCCCATTTTGCGTTCGCCCATCAGGCTGTATGCGTCAGGGTGCTGGCGTCAGCTTCTTTACGACAACGCATTTACGTCAGCGCGTTTACGTCACCACGAAGAGGTATGCCCCTCTTTTTTTCCCCCTCTTTGTAATCTCCTTCTGCGTTAACCTCACTGTCTCCGCGCTTCCCTTCCTCACTTTATCAAAAAGAGGGAATCGCCTGGCGCAAATAGGCTACATAAAATTGTTTTGCAAAAAGGTACGCTCCTCCGTATTGTTGCGAATGTACGTACTCGCAGTGGAATTTTTTATGGCTCAAGTTTCGTTTGGCATGCAATGCGTGGCAGATTCCCAAATTTAACGCTCCATTTTGGAATGTCCTCCACCTTTGCCTCGTGCTCCGTTTGAAATGGCTCTTAAGCACAAGCGGGAATTGACCGGCAAGGTATCTTTCCCGAGCTTTATTAATTCCACGTTCTTACATAAAAATTAAGTGAAGGCAATTTTTATGCCCCCTTTTTGTGCGAACCGTAATTGTTGACGCAACATGGGGTTCCAAATTTGTTCACTAAGTGCGCTCTTTTCAGAATAATGCGCTTAAAAGGGAGAAATAGAGAACCGCAATTGGGGTCCTCCCTCTCCGTGAGATTATTTGTACGTGCGCTTAGATAGATACTCACTTCTTCGCTCGTAAATGTGGCCAATCTCGCTCACAAGAGATGGTAGAATTCGAACAGGGTGAACGCGGCCAACGCGACGAACGCGACTGAATTGAGGAAAAGATCAAATGCGCAACAAAAGGGGGCAACGGAGACATATAGGCAGCCCTGTGCGCTGAGTTAGGCATAAAGTAAATATGCCCCTCTGACGGTACTCCCCATAAACGGCTTTCTTCTTAAAGCCAAAGTGTGCTTCCTTCATGCTAAACGTTTCACCTGTTGTGCATTAATTCGAGAAAAAAAGAGACATTATGTAAATGCACGCCAGCACAATTTTCACTGCGAAATGGGGTAGGAAACCACCGTGGAAGAAACACCCTTGCGTAGACTGCTCATGCGAATGGGGACGTTTTCGGACAAATTAATGCTTCTCACCAGTCGCCTGCGCGAGCATCCCCCTCCAGTGGGTAACAGCAAAAATGCTGTGAAAAAGAAAAAGTTAACAGTCATGCCACGCTGAGGAAGAAGTTATTCATATGGGTGGAACAAAAGACAAATCGCTATTTTAGCAATTTGCAACAGGGTGCAAACAAAAAGGCCAAAGGAAGGGGCAAAAGAACAAAACAAAAAAAAAAAAAAAAACAAGCTCCTTTTTCACGGCACCCAACGTGTTATGCCAAATCACTTGTGAAGGAACAGAAGCTGCACGGACTGTATTACGGTGTTCGTGTCAGTGGAGATCTTCAGTGTTTTACTGTCTGAGATGCTAATATCAAAGGTAACTTTGGTGTACTGCCCAGGCTTTAAAAACATGTTACTTATGTAAACCTCTCCATTAACTGTAATGGAATTTAGTTCTTGTCTACCGCTTGGAGATCCTATTTCGATGGCCACGTAGTATGTTCCTTGGTGCATTAAATCAATTGACCACGTATTAGAAGTATCACAAGCGTCGCTGATATTTTTGCATTCTAAAGGAAGGAAAGAAATTCCCGCATGTGAGGGATCCTTATCCAAATTTTCTGAGTCTACTGGGGTGGGTAATTTCTCCCAGCCATATTTGAAGAATCCATGCTGATCCTTTTTCAGTCCATTATCAATTAGCCAATTTAACGGTTTGGATGACGTGCTATCATTTTTGGTGGTAAAAAATACGTTAATTTCGTTCTGATTTTTCTGTTCATTTGGTTGCTCATTTTTCGGGTCTATGCAAGGGATACCATAGAAGGCAACGTTTCCACCACTCTGGCGTTTGGGATCGCTCACTTTGGATATGACCACCTTGGCGCTTTTCGCCTTTATTGGGGTGCTCAGCTTGTAGTGATGGTGTCCCGGGGAGATGGCAAAAACTTCAGGTATTTTAACATTTGGAAAATACAGAGTCAGTTCTGTAATCGCGTTCTCCAGAGAGGACAGAGTTCTAAAAGTGAAGGAGTGTATGTCTATCTCGTATTTGAAGTTCACACTTAGGTACTGCCCTAGTGATTTATCAGATGCCGTTTTCCACGTTTCGTATTCGTTGTCCTGATTATTTCCACTGAACCCAGAATTGCAATCAAATTTGGGGGACTCATAGGATGAGGCATAACAAGAATTAAAGTGTCCCGAATTTGTGAGTGAAACTGTCTGGACATATCCCATACAACTATTGGAGGAGTGCAATTCACGTGGCTCCAAAAATATTAGAAAGGGAGTTGGTTTGATCAAATTTATCAGCACATCTCCGCTGGAATATTCAGAAGAGTAAATATTATATGTGGTCTGCTCCGAAGCATTCGTCGCATTTTCTTCCTCCACTTGATAAATTGACAAAGTCTCCTTCGTTGTTTCAAATGTTCTCTTCGTTACATCGTTCAGTGGGATTTCCTTCACTTCCTTTGGTATGGCTACAAAGACCACGCTATGCGTGTTGACCCTAAAATGTACGCTGCTTCCACTATGATTGTACAGAGTAGAACGTATGCACTTGGATTTTTCAAAAATGGCTGGAATGTCGGCTACTACGAATTTTGTCGTGTCCATAAAGGCTTGCACTCCATTCTGTAGAAATATAATTTCGTATTCTTCCCCCCTCAGCTCACTAATTCGTAATGGGGTTGTCACATTTCCCTGGAAAAAATAATTACTTGGAATGATTTCCTCCACTATGTGATCGGATTTCCAGGAGAGCATTATATGGACCATGTCGGGGTGTTCATATTTGACAGTACTGAGGTGGAAATATTCTATGCGGAATTTATATTTCTTTCCTCCAAGTAAGCCCAACTTTTCAGAGCTGACCTTATGCACCTTGGCATTTATTTTATCTATGGGAAGCATAGATATGGGTCTCACTTCTTCTGAATCCTCTTCCTTAGGATAAGGCATGCTATCTACAAGGATGGGGGAGTCGTCTAAAAATAGCCTCACCCCACAGTCATGTTCCACGCTAATGATATAATTCCCCGTTTGGGGAATTTTTAAATATCCATCCCACCTTACAGAAAAATGCTGATACGGAATATTCTCTACTGGGATACCAGTGTCCCACACAAAATTTATATACTTGTCACTTTGAATGGAGACAGGGTACCCTGAGAAATAGGCATTATCGTAATAGCTTCCAATTAATCCATCTGCTTTCTCTTCAATACTGTAGGCTTTTAATATTGAACAATTCCTTTTGTCCTCCAGGAAAGATTTCCTATTTTTCTCTACCTCATCTGCTAGTTCATACATTTTTGTTTCAGATTCACTCATGGACGATGCCTGAAGCAACAATTTGTTTATGTTTCTGCTGGAGTTTTTAGCTATGTCGTTAATTTCTTCAATTTTTTTCTTCAACATTTCGGATGTGCTTCCACATATTCCTTCGTACTTCTCATATATACCTTCCAACTTGTTTTTCTCCATTTCCAGTTTTGTGACAGCACTGTTCAGTTCATTAGACTTTGCTAAATAGAATGTCCTAGCTTTGGACCTCACAACATCGTAGTTTATTACTCCTTTGCAGTAATCCCAGTCTCTGTTCCCCTTCCCTACTAGCTGCACTTCCACGTAACACCATTCTCTGCCCGTTATTCCGTTTGGATCCGTTGCCTTCGTGCAATCCGTGTACGTCTGATCGTCTTGCACAAACGCCGCGGCGCACAGACGCCCGTCGACTGTTTTTCTGTGCTGCTGGCGGTACTCCGTCAGTTTCTGCGAAGTGTGTATAGGGGGGTGTAGCAGTACGCAGAAATGTATATACGTAGGTGTGTGTTGGATTGTTGAAGGGCCACCATTCCGCAGGCGGATTCACAGAAC